TGATATAGCTTCCTCAGTGTAGATTACAGACCTTGAATCTGTAGGGATCTGCCTGATATAGCTTCCTCAGTGTAGATTACAGACCTGAACAAGCCACGATTCCTGGCTTTTTGTGTTGTTTTAAAGAGAAATGTTAAGTTAGGGGCTGGGGATGGAACTCAGCAGGTACAGTGCCTGTGTAGTATGCACAGAACCCTGAGTTCACCATCCCCAGCTCAGCAATAAAGGCTGCCCTCCCAGTACATGGGAGGTGAAGCAAGGGCAAGAAGTTCAAGGTAACCTTGAGCATAGCAAGTTTGAGGCTAGTCTAGGTTACATGAGATCTGAGCTTATTATTATTGTTGTTATTATTTTTTCAAGAGGAAATAATGGAGTCCTGGATGGCCTGGAACTCAAGTCTGTAGACCAGGCTGGCCTCAAATTCAAGAGATCTGCCTGCCTCTGCCTCCTGAGTGGTAGGGTTTGCTAGGATTGAAGGCGTGCACTAACACTGCCCAGCTTAGTAAAATTTTTTAAGAGTTTATATTTAGCATATTGCCAAGAAAGGAGTCACATGGCACTAACAGATCCACCTGTGAAAATTGAGCCAATTTCTTGAATCCTGTCTTAAGTTTACAAATTAATGCCCTTGGAATGTATGTGTCTATTTCAATCAAAATATCCATACCTGTTTGAAGAACTGATTTCCTAGAACCTGACCTTAGGAGACCAACATATTACCCTGTTACTATAGCTATGAAGGTTAAGAACTATACATTGTATTTTGTCACTCATCTCAGAACCGTTTAACATCACCTTCTGATTTACTTGCTCCAGAAAACTGTACTTACATTTGTACTTCATGATGAGGTCAGATATTTATAGACTTCAACCCTAATACCCACAGCTATATGAAAACTATCACACTAAGTTTAAAAATAACTCTTTAATCATATGCACATAGGTGAGGGGTAGCACCAGGCTGACTGGGTAAACAAGGTAGTCTCTTTGCCCCCGCGACTGCCTGGCACAGTTCTGAGATCACACAAGGTGAGGGAAGGTTGGGAAGTGGGAAGACGGAAGAGACGAAGGCGAAGGAGATCCAGGGCTAGCAGTAGTCTCAGTCAGTGGATTCCAACACAGATTCACTCAGTGCAAGGTCCCAGTAGTGTTCAGCCCCATGTTTTTTGAAATGCTCACGAGCCATGTTCTCTGTAGGGCACTGTTTGAACTTCATCTCTCCAAAGCTCCGGTCTTTGGCTGTACCCTAGGTATCAAGCAAAACTTTATTTATTTGAAAAGTCTAACTTGCTACTAGACCACACTGCCCTTGAAATTGAAATCCTACCTCAGTATCCTAATGCACCATCATGCCCAGGAGAGACAAGGATTTCAATAAGCTTTCTATTTGACCCCTTTTCCAGTGCTGGGAATTGAACTTAGTGCCTCATTCATGTTAGGCAAGCACTCTACCACTTCAACTTACTTAAATAGACATAACAGTCTTTTTTCTCTTTTTTCCGTGACAGGGTTTCTCTGTGTAGCCTTGGCTGTCCTGGAACTTGTTCTGTGGACCAGGCTGGCCTTGAACTCACAGAGATCCTCCTGCTTTTGCTGCTGAGCACAGGAATTTAAGGTGTGTGCCACCACTGACCAGCTGACATAATATTCTTTTAAAATACCTAATAACATTTGTGTAGCAATATGCCTCACTGAAATATGATTCTATGATAAAAAAAATTATAACCCTATGTCTTAGATATTTGCATGATTATATATAAGGATTTCTGTTTGTTTTTTGTTTTTTTCCTTTGTTGTTACTGTTTTTAGAACCAGAGACTAAAACAACTTGCATAAAAGGCAAGCACTCTATACTGAGTAACATTACTTACTCGCCTTAAAAACTCTTTTTTAAAGATTAAAAAAATTGGGGGCTGGAGAGATGTCTCAGGAGTTAAGAGCAATTGCTATTCTTGCAGAGGACCCAGGTTCTGTTCCAAACACCCACATCATGGCTCACAACCATCTTTAACTCCAGTTTCAGGGGATCTGACAATCTCTTCTGGCTTCTATGGGCATTTAAGGCATGCATGTGATGTAGATACATATATATATATATATGCAGGCAAAGCACGCATACACAAAAATATATCCATCTTCTTTAAAAATGTGTTTATGTGTTCAAGTGAGTATAGATACCTGTCAGACCCCTTAGAGCTGGAGTTACAGGAGGTTATAAGCACCCCCAATGTGAGTATAGGGAGTTGAATTTGGGCCTGCTTTAATTTATTCTCAACTACACCAACCAATCAGGGAGATCAAATAACACCCCTATTTCCCAGCTCCGGCAATGGACTCTGACACTGTCTGACTCAGATCAAAGCTGACACTCTGCCATCACCCTAGTTGTTTTGCTGCTGAGCTGAGGCTCTAACTCGGGATCTAATGCATGTTAGATATGCACCCTGTCACTGGGTTACACTCCCAGGCCCCACCCATCCGCCATCAGATTCTTAGATCTAGTGCATGTTTCACTACACCTGGGGGGAAGGCACATAATTTACTCCCCTCTCACGTTCAGGCTTGGAAATATGTAATTTCCAACTGAGAATTTGTATTCCTAATACCAGCATTTTCCATACTTTTTTCAGTTGGTATATACTAAAAATAGCTCTAAATGTTCCAGCTAACTTTCTACTTCACCATTTTACAAAGATTACCAACCTCCCATACTAGCACACATTTGTTGGTTTTCTTCACAGCTTCTTCATCAGATTCCTCATCATCTGGAAAAGACAAAAGAGCTCAATCTTTGTTTTATTTGTTGAGACAGGGTCTCACTATATAGACCGGGCTGGCCTTCAATTTGAGACCATCCACCTGACTCAGTCTACTGAATGCTGGATTACAAGCTTCAGCAATCATACCTCACTCAGTATCTTTTCTTTCTTCACCGCCCCACCCCCCCAGCCCAATGTCCAGGGCTTTGAACATAGCAGACAAATGCTTAACCACTGAACTCCAGCGCTAGCTCCAAAGTATCTTTTCTGGGGCCTAGCATGATGACCTATGCCTTTAATCTAGCATTTGGGAGGCAGAGGAAGATAGACCTCTGCTGAGTGAGGCCAGCCTGGTCTACATACAAAGTTGCAGACCGACTAGGGCTATATAGTTAGATCCCGTCTCAAAACAACAAAACCCAAAGTATGTTTTCCTGATTAAAGTAGGGAGCTGCTCAACTACAGCTTTCTGAAAATCTGTTTTTATACAGGCAATACTTTAAATTTTTTGGGGGGCGGGGAGAGGAAGACAGGGTCTCTGTATGCAGTCCATATCTGCGTTAAATTGGCATGTGTCCTCAGTAGTTCAAAGCCAAGATCTTCCTACCTCCATATTCTGAGTGCTGGGTTATGGGTGGATACCAGTAGCTCTTGAGCAATTAAAAACAGCAATTTTTTAAAAGATGGAACTCATGTAGCCTAGGCTGCTTTAAAATCGCTACATAGCTCAGCATGGCCTTGAGCTCCCAGGAAATCCTCTTAAGTGGTGGGATTACATGTGTGGACCACCATGCCATAGCTAATAAGAAACTTTTGACTAAAGAAAAATACAGGATAGACACTGTATACATGAATGCATAGCTTGCTGACTTTAAATATACTCTTGTAACCAGAACTTACAATCAAGACAGAGAGAGAAGCCAGCTGGGAGAAAATCCTTAAAGGATATGTAAAAGAACAACTTTAATACTGGTTTGTATGACAATGCAATAAATACTGCATAAGCACTTAGCAGTACTAAGTTAAGTCAGGCTAGCTGGGCAGGGTGGCACACCCCTTTAATCCCAGTGCTCAGAAAGCAGAGGCAGGTGGATCTTAGGACTGAGGTCAGCCAGAGCTATACAGTGAGACCTTGTCTCACAAAAACACAGCAAAACAAAATCAAGTAAGTCTGTCTGAAATTCTCGAACACTAGAGCATTTCAGAGGGTGAAAGAGGGCAGACAGAACTATTCCCCCGCCTCCCACGCTCTCCCACTTAATCCCTTCTAACCCCAATTCACCATCTCCCTTCGTGTTAGATGTCTGTTCATCCCACTTTATCCGATGTAGCATCAGACGCTTAAATTTCTTCTGGGCCTTGGGGCCTGGAAAGAGAATTTGAGAGAGTTGTAAAGACTCCAGTAGAAATAACCTCCCAGCTTGTCTATGCTCAGACAGGGCTGGGTAGGTGAGCCAACCCTGGGAACCAACGTGTGGCCTTCTCCTTCAGCACACAAAGAAACGGACACACATCAGACTCACGGACATCTCTAAACCCCACACTTCTCCCCCTTTCCCCTCGGGACAGCCTCTCCCTGCTCTGCACACTCACCCCCTGCTCTGCACACTCACCCCCTTCTCCCCCTGCTCTGCACACTCACCCCCTGCTCTGCACACTCACCCCCTTCTCCCCCTGCTCTGCACACTCACCCCCTTCTACCACCACCACGTTGACGTCCTTGTGCAGCACCACCACCCCGGTCAGGTACAGCTGCCCGGCGTTGGCCTCGATCTTGAACTTCTTGGCTGGGTTGCTCAAATTTCGAACTCTAGAGGAGGGAAATTTTAGTTACATCTTCAGTTTACCAACAAAGCTGCCTGAAGGGAATGTCAAATAGAGGGATCTAAAATGTTCATCTTTCTAAAGTCAAGACCTTAAACACAGAACTCTATTTCTACTCTCTTGTAAATACATTTCTTTCTTTCGTTTCTTGAAGACAGGATCTCATTATGTAGGTCTGGCTGGCCTGGAACTCACTATGTAGACCAAGCTAGCCTTGAACTCAAGAGATTTGCCTGCATCTGCCTCCCAAGTACTAGTTCATTATTTTTTCATATTAAGTAGTTAGAATTTACTCTATGACCTTTCCGGCGGTGACGACCTCCCTACGAGAACATGCCTCTTGCAAAGGATCTTCTTCATCCCTCTCCAGAAGAGGAAAAGAGGAAACACAAGAAAAAGCGCCTGATGCAGAGCCCCAATTCCTACTTTATGGACGTGAAATGCCCAGGATGCTATAAGATCATCACGGTCTCTAGCCATGCACAAACGGTAGTCTTGTGTGTTGGCTGCTCCACTGTCCTCTGTCAGCCCACAGGCGGAAAAGCAAGGATGACAGAAAGATGCTCCTTTAGAAGGAAGCAGCACTGAAAAGCACATGATTCAAGATGAGTAGGAACCATCCGAATAAACACATTTTGGAGATATATATATAAAAGAATTTACTCTATGAATGAAGGAGAGGTACTTACTATCATCCAAAAAGTATTTATAAGTTCATTGTTCCAGAAAGTATAAAAAGCATTAAATTCTGTCCCCTCTAGATGCCTATACTGTAGATGCCATATATTGATGAAATTTTTCTGGCAGAGACATCAAAAACTGTAAGTCGTAATTACCTAGACAGTGGTCTAAGAGATAAAGAGAACAGGGAGGGGACTCTTTCAGTAAGTGCTTCTCTATTTTATTAGAATTTGTCTTGTTGTTTTCCAGCCTGGACCAGACCAAAACTTGCTAGCACAGGTTAGCTTCAAGTTTGAAACTATCTTGCTTTTCCAAAGTGCTGGAATTACAGGTTTGCACCATCCCATCTGGTCCAAAAATTTTAATATGAATACACACCAGTTTTGTAATAATGCACCACTTCTGATAAAGAACAAGTTAATAGCCGGGCGGTGGTGGCGCACACCTTTAATCCCAGCACTCGGGAGGCAGAGTCAGGCGGATCGCTGTGAGTTCGAGGCCAGCCTGGGCTTCCAAGTGAGTTCCAGGAAAAGGTGCAAAGCTACACAGAGAAACCCTGTCTCAAAAAAACAAAAAACAAAAAACAAAAAAAAAAGAACAAGTTAATAGAAATAAGCACATCTACAAAATAGAAGGCACACATGAGCTAACCTAGAAGAATAAAATTAAGACATGAAATCAATACAAAAGGAAAACTATATTCCGGGGTGAGGATGAAAGGCTTACTACAGTACTTCAGGATGAAGACAGAATACTGAAGAACAAAAAGTGAAAGCTCAGGACAGCCAGAGCGAAACCCTGTCTCCAAAAACAAAAACAACCAAACAAAAATTAATGCTTTCAGCGGGGCGGTGGTGGTCCACGCCTTTAATCCCAACACTTGGGAGGCAGAGCCAGGAGGATCTCTGTGAGTTCAAGGCCAGCCTGGACTACAGCATGAGTTCCAGGAAAGGCGCAAAAATACACAGAGAAAACCTGTCCCAAACCACCCCCCCCCAAAAAAAAATTAATGCTTTCTAGAGAGATTATGTATTTTTTTTAAGATTTACTTATTTACTGTGTAAACAGTATTCTGCCTGCATGTGTCCCTGCAGGCCAGAAGAGGGCACCAGACCTCATTACAAGTGGTTGTGAGCCACCATGTGGTTGCTGGGAATTGAACTCAGGACCTCTGGAAGAGCAGTGGGTGCTCTTACCCACTGAGCCATCTCTCCAGCCCCCAGAATTGGGTATTTTATACTTCACAAAGGATGGATAGTGTGGTAGGTATGCTTTAAGACCATAGTGATTCTGCCTTAAGCATTGGTAAGACACTGAGAATTCAGGTGCAAAGAGGGTGTGATGGAGCATACCTTCACTATCAGGCCTGTGGAAGCAGAGGCAGGTGGATCTGAGTTCGGGGCCAGCTTTGTCTACACTGGGTTCCAGGACAGCTGGGACTACGTAGAGAGACCCTGTCTCAAAAAACCTCACAAACTTTAGGGACAGCTGTCTATGTGGACACCTACCTATACACAGATATGTGCACCCCCTGTGAAATGTCTTCTTTAAGCTTTTTAATTTTCTTGACCTTTCTCTGTTCTGCTGTAAGTTTCCGGGCAGCGTTGGCCTCTTCGTGCGCTCTGTCGTGACAGGAAGGACATCCACAAGTGAGAAAGGCATTGCAGGTCAGAGGCAGGGCTAAGGGAGAGAGAGAGCAACGGAGGACTCCCCCTCCCCTCCAATCCGGACCGGGGAGGGTCTGCAAAGGCAGGGTCCCGCCCCGCCCACCACACTTACTTCTGTCTCTTTGCCATCTGAGCTCTGACGTGGGCTTCTACCTTCGTAGGGTCTTGGACTGCTTCTGTTCCTAATACTCGCATTAAATTTGAGATTCGCACTACACGGAGAGAGGACAGCAATCAATCTCCTAAGTGTTTTCTCTAGGTAGGACAATTTGGTTTTGTTGTTGTTTTCTGCACACAAACATTGCTTATTTCAAATCTCTACTCAAAACTCACTTTCTACAATAATTCTACCTTGAACATCCCACTTACTTAACTCAGATTTTGTAGAAGGTCAAACTATCTGAAAAAATTCAGTATATTATTTTACCATGAAAAAGCACGGTAAAAAATTCATTCATCAGCATTAAAAAAAATAAATAAATAAACCTTATAAGCCAGGTAGTGGTGGCATATGCTTTTAATCTCAGCCCTCGGGAGGCAGAGGTAGGCAGATCTCTCTACAGAGCGAGTTCAGGACATCCAGGGGTACACAGAAAACCTGTCTTGAACTGGCCCCCACCCCCAAAAGACTTTAGACTTATTTTATGTAGAGGAATGTGTTGCCTGTATGTATGTAAGCACACCATGTGTGCACAGTGTTTATGGAGTCTACAAGGCATCAGATCCTCTGAAACTGGAGTTAGAGATGGTTTGAAATTGCCATCGGGAATTGCTGGGAACTGAACCTAAGTCCTCTCCAAAAGTGGCCAGTGCTCTTAACCACTGAGCCGTCTCTCTAGTCTCTACTTTTGTTTTCTTGAGACGGGGCCTCCCTACACAGCCTTGGCTGGCATCAAATTCCCCACCCCCAAGCCTGACTCTCACATAGTGGGAGTACAGATGAGTGTCCCCACGCTCAGCTCTGTATTTCTATTTGTTCATTTTTGAAAAGTCTTTTTTTATTTTTTTGAGACAGGGTCTTTTTTCTATGTAGCCATGGCTGTAGACTGTAGACGAGGCCAGCCTCTGCCTCTTGATTCCTGGGATTAAAGGTGTTCACAACCATGCCTCCTTGAACTCACAGAGATCCTCCTGCCTCTGCCTCCCAAGTGCTGGGATTAAAGGCATGCGCCACCACCCATTTTCCTTTTTTGAGATAGGGTCTCACTATGCAGCTCAGATAGGCCTGGAACTTCCTGTATAATACAGGTTATTCTGGAACATGAGATCCTCCTGTCTCACTGTCCCAAGACCTAGGATTACCAATGCCGTCATGCCTATCTATATACTAAGAATTATGTATCAAGTCCCACAAATACTACAACTATTATCTTCATGATTTTTGTTTTGTTTTTCTAGACAGATTTTCCTATGTAGCCCTGGCTGTTCTGGAACTCACTCTGTAGACCAAGCTGGCCAGAAACCTCCCTGCCTCTGCCTGTGCTGGGATTAAAGGCATGTGCCACTACCGCTTGGCTGTCTTTATGAATTTTAAGACTAGCGTCCTTTCAGTAAACTTTCAGTAAGACTAGCGTCCTTTCAGTAAACTCTGGGGAGTCAATACAGCAAATAATGCTTAAAAATAAACTCTAAATGACTTCTGTAACAGAATGTGTCAACCTGTCATAAGGAAACACAGCATAGATTAAAAATAGTAACAACAACAACAACCACCTGTGAATGATTCAGAAAAACAAACCCACCCCCTCCCCAGTTAAAGTGCCTCTGGGTGGAAAAAAGGACCGACCGACCAACTGACTTTCCAGTGGCAGCAGGGCCAGCTAGACACGTACCTTTGGGTTCCGGAGGAGGCATCAGACCTAGCCTGACTTTCTCCTGGAGCTCCTTTTGTGCTTCCCTCCTCGTTTGCCTCCGAAGTTTCTTCTGTTCCTTTTTTGTAAGATAGACCCCAAGGGTAACTGGTGTATCGTTGTCGACTATGAGAGAGAAAATGAAAGCCTAAGACTACAGAGGGAGTTAGGTGAGCACCCATCACTGAGAAGAACCGTTAACTGCAAACAGTTTGAGGAGGAGGGGCAGACAGGCTTGCTGTATAGCCCAGGCTGGTCTTGAACTCAGAGTCCTGCTGCTTCCACCTCAAAACTGATGGAACAACAGGCATCCATTGTGCTTGGCCTAGCAGTCATTTGTAAGTGGTGAGAGGGACAATATGGTTATGTTTTACTAAGTAAAAGTATTAATCTCTCAAAAATAATGTTTGCAGCTGAACACTTCCACCAAATGTGTAAACAGTAGCCCTGGGTAAGGATTGGGAGAGGCAAAAGTATATAGATTTCCACTCGAGTCCTACTTTCTGAACTTTCTGTTTCCATGAAATACAATTTAAAAACTATTAACCTACATAACAATAAATTTTGTCTTTGGAATGAAGCTATGCTAACCACTATACAAACAACACCTCGATTTTAGTACTAGGAAATGGGGGGGGGGGATCTTGTGAAAGAGGCTGGCTAGAGTTCAGTGGTTAAGAGTACTTACTGATCTTCCAGAGGACCTGAGTTTAATTCCCAGTACCCATATTATGCAGTTCACAAATGCCTGTAAACTCCAGTTCCAGGGGATCTGGCTTCCAAAAGCACCCCCACTCTGTCTCCATATATATGGAGATATGTGTGTGCGTATGTATATACAGTAAAATATATATGGCACACACACACTCCAAAACCCCTCTCACGCATACCTAAATAAGTTTTTTTTTAAAACTCATCTTTACTTTATGTTCTTTGGTATTTTGCCTATATTTATGTCTATGTGAGGGCGACAAATAAACTGGAGCTAGAGTTACAGACAGTTATAAGCTGCCACATGGGTGTTGGGAATTGAACCTGGGACCTCTGGACAAGCAGACAGTGCTCTTGACCATGAGCCATCTCTCCAGCCCAATAAATTTCTTTTTTTAAAAAAGTGCAAAAAAAAAAAAAAAAAAAGTGCACCATGCCAGGCATGATGGCGCACACCTTTAATCCCAGCACTCTGGAGGCAGAGGCAGATGGTTCTGAGTTAGAGGCGAGCCTGGTCTACAAAGCAAGTTCTAGGACAGCAAGGGCTGTTAAACATAGAAACTCTATCTCAAAAAACAAAAACAAACAAACAAACAAACAAAAAGTTTGCCTTTAATCCCAGCACTCAGGAGGTAGAGGCAGGTGGATCTCTGCAATTTTGAAGCCAGCCTGGTCTACAGAGTGAGTTGC